AAGAAATAACACAGGAAATACACAGTAATAACACAGGAATAATTCAGTAATAAAACAGGAATAACACAGCAATAACACAGTAATAACGCAGTAATAACACAGAAAAACACAGGAATAACGCATTAATAACACAGGAATAACACAGTAAAAACACAGGCATAACACAGAGTAACAGAGTAATAACAAAGGCATAACACAGGCATAACACATTAATAACACAGTAATAATTCAGTAATAACACAGGAATAACACATTAATAACACTGGAATAACACAGAATTAACACATTAATAACACAGGACTAACACAGGAATAACGCCGTGACAACAGGAATAACACAGGAATAACACAGTAATAACACAGTAATAGCAGAAATAACTCAGGAATAACACAGGAATAACAAAGTAATAACACATTAATAACACAGTAATAACAGAAATAACACAGGAAATACACAGTAATAACACAGGAATAACACATTAATAACAGTAATAACACAGGAATAACACATTAATAACAGTAATAACACAGGAATAACACATTAATAACAGTAATAACACAGGAATAACACATTAATAACAGTAATAACACAGGAATAACACATTAATAACAGTAATAACACAGGAATAACACATTAATAACAGTAATAACACAGGAATAACACATTAATAACAGTAATAACACAGGAATAACACATTAATAACAGTAATAACACAGGAATAACACATTAATAACAGTAATAACACAGGAATAACACATTAATAACAGTAATAACACAGGAATAACACATTAATAACAGTAATAACACAGGAATAACACATTAATAACAGTAATAACACAGGAATAACACATTAATAACAGTAATAACACAGGAATAACACATTAATAACAGTAATAACACAGGAATAACACATTAATAACAGTAATAACACAGGAATAACACATTAATAACACAGGAATAACTCAGTAATAGCAGAAATAACAGGAATAACACAGTAATAACACAGTAATAGCAGAAATAACTCAGGAATAACACAGGAATAACAAAGTAATAACACATTAATAACACAGTAATACCACAGGGGTAACAAAGGAATAACACAGAAATAATTCAGTAATAACACAGGAATAACACATTAACACAGGAATAACTCAGTAATAACACAGTAATAACACAGAAATCGCACAGGAATAACACTGACAACAGAAATAACAGAGGAATAACACACTAATAACACCGTAATAACGCAGTAATAACACAGGAATAACACATTAATAACAGTAATAACACAGGAATAACATTAATAACACAGTAATAACAGAAATAACACAGAAATAACACAGGAATAACAGAAATAATTCGGGAATAACACAGTAATAACACAGAAATCACACAGGACTAACACAGTAATAACACAGGATTAACACAGTAATAACAGAAATAACAGAGTAATAACAAAGGCATAACACAGGCATAACACAGGAATAACACATTAATAACACAGTAATAATACAGGAATAACACAGTAATAACGCATTAATAACACAGGAATAACACAGTAATAACACAGGAATAAAACAGTAATAACGCATTAATAACACAGGAATAATACAGGATTAACACAGTAATAACTTTTATAACACAGTAATAACACAGTAATAACAGAAATAACACAGTAATAACACAGTAATAACAAAGAAATAACACAGGAATAATTCAGTAGTAAAACAGGAATAGCAGTAATAACACAGGCATAACACATTAATAACACAGTAATAACACAGGCATAACACAGGAATAACACAGTAATAACAAAGGAATAACACAGGCATAACACAGGAATAGCACATTAATAACACCGTAATAACACAGGAATAAATCAGTAATAACAGAAATAACAGGAATAATACAGGATTCACACAGTAATAACACAGTAATAATTCAGTAATAACGCATTAATAACACAGGAATAATACAGGATTAACACAGTAATAACTCAGGATTAACACAGTAATAAAACAGAAATAACACAGGAATAACTCAGTAATAGCAGAAATAACAGGAATAACACAGGAAATACACAGTAATAACAGGAATAATTCAGTAATAAAACAGGAATAACACAGTAATAACACAGTAATAACGCAGTAATAACACAGTAATAACACAGCAATAACACAGTAATAACCACAGGAATAACACTGGCATAACACTGTAATAACACAGTAATAACGCAGTAATAACACAGTAATAACCACAGGAATAACACAGGCATAACACAGTAATAACACAGGAATAACACATTAATAACACAGGAATAACAGGAATAACACATTAATAACACAGTAATAACAGAAATAACACAGGAATAAAGCAGTAATAGCAGAAATAACAGGGATAACACAGTAATAACAAAGTAATAACACAGGAATAACACAGCATTAACACAGTAATAACAGGAATAACACAGTAATAACACAGAAATCAATAATTCAGTAATAATACAGGAATAACATAGTAATAACACAGTTATAACACAGGATTAACACAGGAATAACACATTAATAACCCAGTAATAACACAGCAATAACACAGGAATAACACAGTAATAAACACAGGAATAACATTCCCATCCTCCCGGACTCCGTTACCTTGACTCCACACACCTGTGCACACACTCTCACACACACACACACACAGCTGTTGCCCATCCTGAGGGCTATTTATACGCCTTCCCCACGCCTCTCTGGGCGGATTATTAAGTGTTGTTACGGGACTGATGCAAGCTCTACGTGGCCGTATTGTGTCAGAGTCCGCCTTCTGTTTCGAGCCTGTGTGTCAGAGTCTCAGATCTGTTTGTGTTCTGTTTTAATTTTTACTTTGTTTTCCCCTGCAGTTAATAAAAGCCTGCATTTGGACCCAGACCCCCTGTTTACACGGTGTGTTCTGTACCATGCCGTGACAATGTTATTGTGGTAGTGCAATGGCCAACCACTACTCATCAACCTGTACATTAATTCATTATGTAGATGAAATGCAGGCTCAGAAAGGAAGCCTTTCAGGCCCCGGGAGCTTTGGGGCTGGGAGAGCAACAAAAACTGTGGAGATCTGACAAAAACAGGTCTCAGAGAGGTGTCTGTTACAAATGAAATTGAAAATGAAAACACATCAAGTTGGCAGAGTGCGAGGGTAGTGGCGGGATGCGGATCCGTCACTCATAGTGCACCTCGGTGTCGGACAAACAGAAGAAGTGAGGAATATTTAACAGCAGCGGTCACAGTCATGATGAGGCGAGCACCAGTGAAGTTTCTCATGCCCGCTCCGTGTGTCTGCTGGGCAGCGATCAAACGGACAGGGCAGCGCTTTTCACGAGCGGAGATCGCTACTAGACGAATTATGTAATTTGTTATCTATTTATTTTTATCTCTGTTCTTTTGTCGTAAGTTATGCTATTGCTCCATTCATTTATACTAGCCTATATCCAGCGCTCCCTGAACGCAGTCTCTGGCTTATTACCAGCAAGTGCAAGCACGCTGCTCAAGTGACTCGAGTCCACACCCCTGGTTTGTTGCACTCTCTCTCCATCCCATTGTCACTCACTTGGCTCAGGAACTTTATATAGAGTTCCAGCAGCGTTTTATATCCCTCTTTTTGCCTTTAGATCTTATTTTAGGACATTAAATTTACTGTCAATTTTATTTATATATTTAAACTGTAGTATGAATTGACTCTAGTGATTTCCGCGAATCGGTTCTTCTGAACAATTCGTTTTAAAGAACCGGTAAAAAAAAAAAAACACTGAAACACCCTAAAACATTACAATAAAGCCATTTGTAACCACATATTCTTGTTAATGCTTGTTTTATTAAGTGTATTTAACGTGTCCCATTTTGCACTTATATTAAACACTAAACGCTTGACTGAAAATATTTTGAACGATTTAATAAAATACGCGATATTAAAAACAACTCGTATGCACATTTCTTCGTATAATCAAACGACCATACCATCAAATCGTAAGCACAAATTCAGCTTTAAAAGTAGCATAACTTTCTTTTCGCTCCATATGTCAAATTTTCGGTTCATTGAAATTTCTCGTAATCAGTTTACTCATCTTTTCTCGACACATTACGAGTCGGACATGTTAGAAAGAGTTTTTGATTCAGTCGTGAAGCATTGACGACCGAATGGTTCTAACAGGTTTTGTGAGCCGGTTCAACTGATTCATCCTATTCAAAGTAATGATTCATTCACGAATCGGACATCACCAATTGACTCCCCACTGTCGAATCTGTGTATGAAGGTTGCTGTCGCCATAGAAACCCTCATCTGTTTGCGGTTTTGATTACACAGATTATGCTTATTTCTCATAATTGCCGTTAACTACTTTATTTAATATATAATGTAAAATGCTGTTTTAAAACCACGTGTTTATATTTTTTATATTTATTTCTATGGCACAAAGCTTTGTTGAATCTGTTGTTTTTAATCGTGTAAGCAAATAGTCGTTGCTAAGGCAGCTATCCCGTTAGCATGTCGAGTTTAAATAATTCTACCTGCTAAAATATAACAGTTAACGTTATGCGGTTTGTTGTGGGCGGAAAAACATGCGTGAAATGTATTTTCGGTTTATGGAAAAATGTTATCCATAATAATATTCCGTGACACACTGGCTCTCTGTTAGCCACATAGCCAGCTGCTCTGTGTTTACGGACAGACTCGGACATAGTCATACGTGAATTCTAGAGATATTTCATCTCCTCCTTTGGACGAGGTTTGGGAATAAGTGCAATATGGACACGAATGTTCAGAAGAGGCGAGAAAACAAGAAGTCGTTACGGGTTAAGGTCATTAGTCTGGGAAATGCAGAGGTGGGGAAGGTAAGGTTTGGACTGTTTTGAACCATACAAACATCGAACTTAAGAAATCAGGTGGTTCTTTACATTTGTTTATTAATATGATCATTGTGTTATTGATACGTATATGTTTGAACATATCAGTAGTTTGAGGTTTACTTCATTTTCTCTCTAGGAAGTAACTGCTTTCCCCTTATAATTGCATGTATTGTTATGTATTTGATATATAAGTTACATGGATACTGATAACGTTACTGTAAATGTTCGTTGCTAGTAATCTGTTTTTGATTCATTTAGGAGCTCTGTTCGTTTAGTATGATTTTGTTTTTTGTTATCCTGCATAGGTATAGTAGCATACTAGGTGACATATGTAGTACATGTGGAGTATTTCATAATATTTCTGTTTGTTTCAGAGCTGCATTATTAAACGATATTGTGAGAAGCGGTTTGTGCCCAAGTATCTCGCCACTATTGGGATAGATTATGGTGTAACCAAGTAAGTGGTGTGGGTTAACAAATAATTTCCTTCTGTCACTGTTTTCTCAAATATGAGGTTCAAATCATTTATTCTTGGTACATAAATACCTATTTGTATCCTTTCTTGTCTTGTCTTGTCTTGTCTACTGGCTCAGATTATTATCACTTAGTTTTATTGTTATTTATTCATCAATTCAATGTGTACCATTTTACAATGATGTGAAATAGTAAATAATGATTGTAGTGGTTGCTGCACTTGTGCATACTCTTTGATGCACGTATGCCCATTAATAAAGCACGATTACTGTGATTCACTGATGAAATGTAAATGAAATTGTGTTTTTTCCCCCTATCTCAAGGGTCCAGGTTCGAGACAGGGAGATAAAAGTAAACATTTTTGATATGGCTGGGCATCCTTTCTTTTATGAGGTATTGCTTGATTTATCATGTGTATGCACTTGATTAAGTGTGTTTAAAAGTAATATTAAAATAATATGTAGACAAAATGTCTCTTTTTATTACACAATGTAATGGAGAATTGTTTTTTGTTATTGCTCTATGCATACATCTAACTAACCACACTGTGGTAGTATTGAGTTGCTGTCCATGTAACGTCCTCCCTGAAGAACCTGATGGCAACAGCGTTTAACATTTTTCTTGTTGTCATGTATTTGTAATTAGAAATTGATCACAGGCTTGTGATGGCTATGAGAGTCTGTTGTTGGAGGGAATTGATGTTGTGTGTTTTACAGGTCCGCAATGAGTTTTATAAGGACTCTCAGGGGGTGATTCTAGTCTATGATGTTGGTCTGAGGGAGAGTTTTGACGCTCTGGACAGCTGGCTCACAGAGATGAAGCAGGAAATGGGCTCACAGGTCAACATGGAGAACATCATCTTCATTGTGTGTGCCAACAAGGTGCCACTAGTGTTTAAATATCTATTGTGTTCTCTGTGATTTATATGTGAGAGAATGTTATAAAGTGTGGTCTCTGACCCGTAAAGGTTGACCTGACAAAAAGGCGAGTTGTGGATGAGAGTGAGGGGAGACTTTGGGCCGAGAGCAGAGGATTTCATTACTTTGAAACTTCTGCTCAGAGTGGTGATGGCATCAATGAAATGTTTCAGGTATGTACTCACATACAACTCTTTTCATTTGACTACCCTATTTTGTTTTTTAAAGAATGACTGTTCTTTATTTATTATGTGTCCACCTCCACAGGCCTTTTTCTCATCCATAACTGATATGTGTGAAAATGGAGGGAAGAGACCCACTCCAGAGGTCAATGTAGGTTTTACTAAAGAGCAGGCCGACACCATCCGACGCATCCGCAACAGCAAAGACAGCTGGGATATGCTGGGGGTTAAACCTGGGGCCACGAGGTAAATTGTATGCTAAATGTGTCTGCTTGTGCTGCTGAACTTTTGTATATCATAATCTGGATGAATGGCTATTTAGATATTACCTTTTGCTCTGTATAATGGGCTCTGTTGCACAGTATCAGGTTAATGAACTAAATGATAGCTTTCCTCCACTCACACATTTATTTAATCAAAAATAGTCAAAAACAGTAAAATATTATTACGTTTACCTGAAATATATTACTTGAAATATTATTACAATTTAAAATAACCGTTTTCTCATATAATATGTTTTAAAATGTAATTTATTCCTGTGTTGGCAAAGCAGAAATTACACCAGGCTTCAGCGTCACATGATCTTTCAGAAATCAGTCTAATATGCTGATTTGGTGCTCAAGAAACATTTCTTACTATTATTGATGTTGAAAACAGTTGTGCTGCTTAATATTTTTGTAGAAACTGATTTATGATTTTTTTCAGGATTCTTTGATGAATAGAAAGTTAGGAAGAACAGCATTTATTTTATACTATGGCATTTAAAAAAATAATAATAATAATTAAAATAATTACTAAATAATTTTGACTTTTCTCAAAATATTTCGACTTTATTCTTGTAATATGACTTTAATCTCGTAATCTTACAATTTTTTTTTTTTAACGTGGCACTAAAACACTGTCGTAATTTAAAATAGAAATAGAAAATATAAATCTTTTATAGCATTATAAATGTCTTTGCTGTCACCTTTGATCAATTTAATGCATCCTTGCTAAACAAAAGTATTCATTTATTTAAAAAAAAAAAATTATCTTTTTCACCCCAAACTTTTAAACAGTAGTGTATGTATATATGCATTTGCATGATGCAGTGTATCAGATGCAGCTTTGTTAATGCCTGACAGCAGTGGTTTGGCAATGTTATACAGTTGATTTATTGAATAATTTCAGATTTACTTTTTGTATATTATAAATGTATTTAATGGTGATTTAGCAATGGACTGAAAAAATAGTGCCTGGTGTGGATATCTAAAGAGAATGCATGGTAGCTGATGGTTGATAAAATGCCATACATGCCATGTAATATATCACAAAATTTCATAATTATAAAAAAATACATGTATTAAAAAAAGTTCAATTTAAATTTAGTATATTATATAGGCCACTGGGCTTTGTTCTCTAAAATTTTTTAACCAGCCCTAAACAGCTGTGTTGTTTGTTATAACATTGTTATACATTATGGCATCAAAAATTAGGATTGCAGCACTAATCAGCCAAATATAGAAACATTTTCGGGCGATCATGTAAAAAATAGCAGATATCACTAGTGCAAGCCCTGCTGGTTTTGTATTTGGATTGGGATGTTGATTTGGCTCTGTTTTCTTAAACCCCACTTAGCCTCTCTGAAGTTATAAGTCAACTGATGTTAATCTAGGTTAGTGCGTTCCCATCTTTGTTTAACACATACACAATGCCCACCAGTGACAGAGGACATAATGTGTTTTATGTGGCTTCAATAACCTTTAAAGTTAGTATTTACTACCCTGTTCCCTGGAATATTTAGTAGAATGCTAGATGCTTAAAAGCAAGCAACAAATAGTTGTTACCGTTTGATACTGTTATTTCCCATTTAATTATATTGTCTCAGTATTTTTGATACAACACTGCTGGTTGTGTTAGCTTGGCTGGTTTAATCGTGTGGGTCAGATCTTTAGAGAATGCCTTCAATCCAATTACCTCCCTAAATTCTGTCCTGCCATCTTAATCAGCCTCTTTGAGATTTCCCTAACACCCTGAGAAACCAATCATGAGCTTGTGTCATTCCTCATTCCCAGCCAATCACAATATTTGTACGGGGCCAAGCCTATCTTCATTAGCTGATTCTTCACCGTGATCCCTCTTTAGTGGGACCACAGTGGTTTGCCATATCAGCATTTTAAAGGCCTGTTTGATGTGTGTAAACTGAGACTAATAGGTTTTTCTCCTTTTCCGCTTGTAGGGAGGAAGTCAACAAGGCATACAGGAAGTTGGCTGTACTGTTGCACCCGGACAAGTGTGTGGCCCCAGGCAGTGAAGATGCCTTTAAATCAGTGGTTAACGCTCGCACATCCCTGCTCAAGAATATCAAGTAGGAGCGTGTGCTCACACACAAGTGCATCTCACATGGTTTCCATTACAAACACACCCTCCGCATTGTGTCTTGAGATTTGCCATAAAACAGATTGTTTTCATCTTCATTGTGCCATCTGAATATTAGTCTTCTTTTTGTTTGTTTCGATTGCTTGCTGTGGTGTTTTGTTTGTTGAATTTGTATTAATTATATATTTATTTATTATTTTGATTATTAAATGTGTATTAAAAACAGTTGTCGGGGTAGTTTAAATATGCTATCAGAATGTTTGAAGTACAAATAACATTGTAGCACCACAAAAGTGTTGTCTTTTTCACCTCAAGATTTCATCAAAAACCAACAAATAACTATCTTTAAGGCTGAAACTTAAACATGTTCCCTTGTTTTAAGTTAATCAGCTTCACATTGCCATTAGTTGGAGTTGGAGAATTACCTCACATTTGCAGAGTTCCCTTCTCAGTGAAGATTACGCTTAAGACACATGGAGAAGCCTCTGGACTTCAGCAAAGACTTAGTAACAGCTGAGTTTGACACAGTCACCACAGCTGTCCTGTTTATAATGTAATATACAGTACATGTTGATGTCAAAAGTTGTAGGGAAACAACAATAATGCTGTAAAGTGCGTATCTGTCAGGCCTGAGCCCAGATCATGTGCACGTCACATCATCTTGGAGCGTGAAGATGACATTGGTGGACCCTTCCTTTTCCCAGTCTGTCCTGTGACTGTTGTGCTGTTTTGCTCCCATAGACGTACAGGTGAAAGACCACTTATTTACCAACTGATTTGTGAGTCAGACTTCGCATTCTAATGCTGTTGTTTAATCCCGACGAACCTCGCAGGGACGCCATGACCTACATGGATGGTTCCCAGTTTTTCCTCCACTTCACCTTAGCTCACTCCAAAGAGGAGGAAAAGCATGAGAAGAAAATGTAACTTGTCTAATACCTTTGCATCAGTGCAATATAACAGTGCATTTTTGTTAAAAAATAAATACATAAATAAAGTCATTTTTATGTAAGTCTATTTAGATTTAACACTAGATTTTACTCTGTAGAATGTCACGTCTGAGAATACAGTTTCAATAGATAGTATACAAATCAACCTGTTAAAATAAGTATGTGTCATGCACTTGCAGTTTGTTAATTGCATGTTAACTTATGGGTACTATATATATATATATATGTATATATATGTATATATATATACAGTATATGTGTGTATGTGTATGTAAAATTATAATTATAATCATAATAAATATATGCATATATATATATACACAAATAATTATTTCATTATATATACAAATTATATGTACATATATTTACAGTCCAAACAAGGTTGCATTAAATTGATCAAAAGTGCAAAGACAATTACATTGTTACAAATGATTTTTGTTTCAAATAAATGCTGTTCTTTTGAACTTTTATTAATCAAAGAATCCTGAAAAAAACATTTATCATGGTCTCCACAAAAATATTAAGCAGCACAACTGTTTTCAACATTGATAATAAGAAATGTTTGTTGAGCACCAAATCAGTATTGGAATGATTTCTGAAGGATCATGTGACTGGAGTAATGGCTGCTGAAAAATATAATATAATAAATATGTATTTTAAGTTAAATAATATTTTGCAATTTACAGTTGAAAAAAAAGATTTTTGATCAAATAAATGTAGCCTTGGTGAGCATCAGAGACTTTCAGAAACATCATACCAAGCCCAAAATTTTGAACAGTACGCTGCTACAAGTTGTGGTCACTAGTGCCAAGACAATATTAAAGTGTATAAGAGTGCCGTTTTCCAGTCTTTACACAATATTTGGGGGTTTTGCTAAGTGCAAAACTAAAAATGTAATCATTATTCATGCTGAGGCAGTAGCTTTTTTTTTATATAAATATGGTTGATTTTTCTTTTCTGAAGTGTTTTAGGCATGAAAGGAACTATCTGTAAATCTGTCACAGTGATGGTATCTGGTCCAAGGATAACGCAAGAACAAAGGGGCTTTGTTTACACCAACACTGGAATAAATATAACTGAGATAAAACTGTTACATTAGCAGAGCTGTGTAGATGTGCCAGCATGCATTAGTTCAACAATGTTTTGTTTGGCCCTTGTATATTAACACTTCTACGTAGGTAACAATCACTGTAATGCAAGTATATCAAATATTGTATTTTTTTATGGAACTGTGGTGTTTACAACACAATGTGAGTGTACATGTGCAATGTAACCATTATTTATATTTTTAAATATTTATCTGAAAGTACACGTTTTGTGATCTCTATTACATTTGTTTATTTTCAAGAGCATTTGATAATGTGCTGCCTTGTTCGCTACAGTACAGGTGCATCTCAATAAATTAGAATGTCGTGGAAAAGTTCATTTATTTCAGTAATTCAACTCAAATTGTGAAACTCGTGTATTAAATAAATTCAATGCACACAGACTGAAGTAGTTTAAGTCTTTGGTTCTTTTAATTGTGATGATTTTGGCTAACATTTAACAAAAACCCACCAATTCACTATCTCAACAAATTAGAATATGGTGACATGCCAATCAGCTAATCAACTCAAAACACCTGCAAAGGTTTCCTGAGCCTTCAAAATGGTCTCTCAGTTTGGTTCACTAGGCTACACAATCATGGGGAAGACTGCTGATCTGACAGTTGTCCAGAAGACAATCATTGACACCCTTCACAAGGAGGGTAAGCCACAAACATTCATTGCCAAAGAAGCTGGCTGTTCACAGAGTGCTGTATCCAAGCATGTTAACAGAAAGTTGAGTGGAAGGAAAAAGTGTGGAA